ACTCTCTTTTTTTTTCCTTTTTCTTTCCTTCTTTATTTTTTCTTCCTCCCTCCCTCCCTCCCTCTTTCTCTTTCTTTCCCTCTTTCTTTCTTTCTTTCCTTATTTTTGCTGTTTTGGTGACCACGAATTTATTTCCTTATATTTAAATATTAAACATTTATAAAGTCTTGTGCAAGTGAATTTTAAGGTATAATAATACTGCCTACCTGTCTCACTAAGGATGCTGAAAGAATTACTGAGATAAGTCTGTAGGAAGCATTGAGCTCCTTTGTGTGGAGGGTGAGATTTAAAGGTGGAGGAAACTCAGGTAATTTCAAATCACTTTGGGTTGCCTAAGGAAGGCTTCACAATAAGCAAGAGTTAAAATAGGAATATACGAAATAGTTGTCCTGAATTCTGATAGGAGAAATAAATGAGTAATAACTGAGTTTAACTTCACTTTTTCCAGAAAAAAAATAGGATATCTTCCTATTGGTCTGGCTTAGAGACAGCTCAGCTTGGAGAAGGAAAGTTATTTCAGTCATCCCTGAGAATCTATGTTAGAGTGTATCTCTGCTGGGACCAATTTAAGAGATAATCTTACTCTTATACATGATTAAAATTGGATCAAAAGAGATCTTTACTTGAAATTTAGAAGAAAGCACTGTATGTGGAATTATTTTATACCCTGTTAGCACAATGACATTGTATACTAAAAATCAGGTGAACATAACTAGAGGCAGCTAGTAAGGATCGTGTTAATCCAGAGTAACGGATATGGAGTAAAATGGAGGCATCCAAATTGCCACAAAAGTTTTATCATGCATATCTAAAAGGTTGTGATGGGATGAGGGATAAGGTAGTGAGGGAAGAGGAGAACAAACACTATAGACAGAAAAAAGCAACTTTTGGGCTTCCCTGGTGGCGCAGTGGTTGAGAGTCCGCCTGCCGATGCAGGGGACGCGGGTTCGTGCCCCGGTCCGGGAAGATCCCACATGCCGCGGAGCGGCTGGGCGCGTGAGCCATGGCCGCTGAGCCTGCGCGTCCGGAGCCTGTGCTCCGCAACAGGAGAGACCAGAACAGTGAGAGGCCCACGTACCGCAAAAGAAAAAAAAGAAACAACTTTTGTTGCACCCCAGCTGTTTCTGTGGACTAAGCTCTTAAATTAAAGCGTTCTCAGTACAATTGAGTCTCACAACAATCTTCAGGGTTAGTTATCATTATCTAAAATTTTTTTCTGAAGAAACCAAAGTTTAAAACGAGACACATATTGCCCAGCGTTCTGTAATTGCTAACTGGAGGGGCAGAATTCAAATTCAGGTCTGTATTATTCAACAGTTTATGGTCTTTCTCCTATATAACACTGATCTAAGATAGTTGGTTTCCCCTCCCACGGGATGAAAATTGATTAGAAACACACAAGTTACACACGCACACACACACGTACACATACACACACCTTCCAGAAGTTTAACCTTCCAAAGTGACTAGATGAGTAAAAGCAAGCTGTTTCTAAGAGTGTAAATATAGGGCAGCCCATCCTCCCTCCTCCCTTTTTTAAATGTTTGCTCTTTCTGTTATTATTTGTCTTCAGCTTGAAGGTGTTAATGTACGCCCCCAAAATGATTAGAGGACTCCTGTTTCTTTCTTAGTTTCCACTTAAACTGTAACATTGTGTATTTAACTTTTTACTTTTACAATACCATCCAACCGCTTACCTTACAGAATGCAGAATGCTGCCAGCAAGTGTTTTGAACACTCCCCCACTGATTTTGTTCATGAAAAGAAGAGGTCAGTTGTGGTGGTTTTGCAAGAAAACTATTAGTTCCCTGTTACAGATAAGGAAAAGTACATAAGTACGTGGGCGTGAATGGTAGGCTTATCTCTTCCTGCCGTATCACCAACAAAAATGGTACTTGTGACTTCTGAGGGCAGTAGTTGCTCTTACTTTCCGTTAAGTCACTTTATTTTCGAATTGCACAGAATACTGGGATTGATGATGAAGTTATATGTCACCACGTGATAGAGTATAATCCAAGTAATAAACAACAGACATTTATAAGAAACAGATCACAGTAGGGGCACCAGACAGCCTTCAGCTGCAAAACAACAGGACTCAAGAAAAGGAATTTGATCAGTTGAACTTATTCAGATGTTACAGGGGCTGATAATGTATCAAGAGGGAAATTGTAAAGATGCTTTCTGAAGACTATTTGGGAAGAATACACAAAAATAGCTAATAACGAAATATGTGATTGTACAGAAATTCCCTCATGGCAAACTCATGCTATTAATACCTAAGAAGAGAGTAAATTGCCCGTAAATTGCCCTGTGATCATAGTCGCACGTAGTTGCAGCAAAGGAGGACTGCATATAGAGATCAACATATAGATAAAAATTACTTAGCACACTGGAGGCTTTGGTGGGAGGGTGGATATTAATATCCAATGAGAGTCAGTTGAAATCAATGCAAAGTGATGGGAGCTGCTCAGTGCAAGTGTCAGAGAACAAAGAAATTGCTGGTTAAAGATCCATGAGCTGAGAAAGACTCTGAGACCATTAGTAGTTAGGAAATTGGTAATTTTGCCCCACAGTGTGAGCTAATCATTGCAAATCCCCACTTCTGGAGTGGCCCCAGGGAAGCAAAGCTCTTCACAGCCCCGAAAATAAACAAAGGGCCTGTGTGCAGAGCAAGGTTTAAGGGAAACCGGAGCTGTTCTGAGGAGGCAGGTCCTGCCCCTTTCCACCATTTAACAGCCAGGTGTATATGCAAGACACCTTCCACTTCCACTTTTGGATATTTTTCACGAAACCTAAACGTTTGTATTTTGGATTTCTCACCAGAGCTTTGTAACAAAGGAATCAGAGATTAAAATGGAGACTGTGTAAACTAAAATATTAAACGAATTCTTGTTAAGTACTTTATATTTGCAGTAACGCCTTTACTTTGCAATACTGGTATTTGCAATAATGACTGATATATTTAAATTATTGCCCCGGTGGGACCGAGGGATTGGAAACCTTGAGCAGAGAAAAACAGCAAAAAGCAAATAAAGCAATTTAGTTTGAAATACAGAAGATGGAAGCACAGTAGACGTTCAGTGAGGACAAATTGTTGTTGCTGTTGATATGTTTTGTTTTGTTCATATCCAACTGTATTTTTGGCTATCACTGTTAATTTTGCTTCATTCATTCAAAAGCATGTATGCATGAATACTAGGTTGTGGTGAGATGATAGTAAGCAGAGCAGACCTAGTCCTTACCTCAAAGAACAGACAGTTCAACCGTCGGCTTACTAATTGAACAAACAATGCTTACAATAAAGTACGATGAGCACTGTGATAGTGAAAGCAAAGGGCTTCAGGAAATGCTTGGTGGAGGAGCTCAAGCCAGTCTAGGGGATTCTTAATCAAGACACCTCCCTGAACAAGAGATGTTTAAGCTGGCATTAAAAAAAGAGAAAAAAGAAATGAAAGTAGGTTAACTATTTAGCATAGACACTAAAGTTGATACTAATTTATTAAGTTCTAAGAAAATTTAATTTCTCAATTTCTGGTGTTTTGATGTCGATGTCATATGGTTTTTTTGTTTGTTTGTTTTGTTTTGTTTTTGCGGTACGCGGGCCTCTTACTGTTGTGGCCTCTCCCGTTGCGGAGCACAGGCTCCGATGCGCAGGCTCAGTGGCCATGGCTCACGGGCATGTGGGATTTTCCCGGACTGGGGCATGAACCCGTGTCCCCTGCATCAGCAGGCAGACTCTCAACCACTGCGCCACCAGGGAAGCCCTGTCATATGGTTTTAATGATAATTATTCCATTTATCACCTGTAAACGCCTTGGTTTGTGGTAAGCACATAGTGGTTAGCCAAATTGCTCCTCAGAGAAAAATGTCCTTCTGATCATTTTTGCTTTCCTTTTCTTTCAAAATTTGTTGGGATATAATTCATATACCATAAAATTCACCATTTTAAAGTACAAAAGTTAGTGGTTTTAATATATTCATGAGATCATGTGACCATGACCACTATCTAATTGCAGAACATTGTTTTCATCCCAAAGAGAAACCACACACCCATTAGAGTCACTGCTCCCAACCCTCTCCTCCACTCCTTCTTTTAGAAACAGCGAACCAAATATCTGTCTCTATACATTTGACTGTTCTAGAGTTTCCAATACATAGAATCATACAGTAATGTGCTATTTTGTGATTGACTTTCTTCACTTAGCATAATATTTTTAAGGTTTACCCATGTCGCAGCATGTATCAGTACTTACTCCTTTTTATGCCAAGTGATATTCCATTGTATGGATTTACCACATTTTGTTTGCTCATTCATCACTAGATATGTTTTTTGGCTTTTATGATTGGTGCTACTATGAACACTCATTTACAAGTTTTTGTGCGGACACATGTTTTCATTTCTCTCGGGTATGTCGTCGAATGGATTGGGCCCTGCTGCTAGCCACTTAAACAATGAATACTCAAGAGATAAAGAAAGGAAAGGTGCGTTTAATCAAAACGCTGGCAATCTGGGGAGACGGTGGATTCAACACCCTCCAGAAACCACCTCCGAAGATTCTACTCGGGCCTGAAAGCTTTTAAAGGGAAGAAAGGAAGTAATCTCAGTTTGTTCTTGAGATTACTGAAGGGGAAGCTAGGGAAGAGATTTGGTCATTTGTTAAATTACTTATTCTTCATTTCTACTTCTTTGATCTATGGAAAGATCAGACAAGTTAGGCAACGTTCCGTGTGATTAAAAGATTTGAAAGGTATGCTTGAGCCAGAGATGAGTAGAGCATGGAGGTGCCTGGTTTAAAAGTTAGCTATAATATAGCTTTGCTAAAGCGACAGTGAAAGGGGCTTCCTACTGAGGGCAGTTTCCTACAAAGAACTGCTTACATATATACCTAGGAGTGGGGTTGCTGGGTCATATTGATAACTCTGTGCTTCCTTTTTGATGTGCTGCCAGCCTGGTTACCATTTTGCATTTCCACCAGCAGTGTTTTGCTTTCTTTTTATAGACTCCAGAGGAACTAGAGGATGTTTCTGACCTGGAAGAAGATCACGAGGTCCGCAGTCACACCAGTGTTCAGACTGAAGGGAAAACTGATCGGGTGAGTCCCCTCCCTGTGGGGAGAGCCGTGTGCCATGCCCTCTCCTTGTCAATCGAGGCAGCCTCTCACAGTAGGGATCCCTGGATTTGGGGCTGGTCTTGTAAAGCAGAGGGAGAAGAGCCTTAGAATGCAGGAGCACCGTCATGAGGGGAATGATTTCCTCTACCTTGAGAGCTCACAGTGAGGCCATTTCTGGTTAGGTAGTGAATCACTCCGTGCTACTTTTGGTCTTTATAGCCGTTATGGGAATATCAAAGTGAAATTTGTACCTGTTTGTTTAGAGTAGAAAAGAGAAACCACGAAGTTGTAAATATACTTGGAAATTCTAGGGGAGAAAAATCAACTTCGGAGGCAATATTCCTCTACTTTTCTTCCTTTCTACAATGCTTTCTTCTGCCCCATCAGCGCACACACACACACACACACACACACACACACACACACACACACACACAGAGCAATGATGTTCATCAATTTTTGAATTACTCTGAGATGTTCTATTTCACTTTATTTACACCCAATGCTTGGGAGTTTGTGAAAGTTTGATTTCCTAGCTACTGATAGCTTGCAACTGGAGAACAGACTATAGGACTTGAGTCTGAAAGCCAGGTAGTATAGCATAGTGGCTAAGACTGCCTGGGAATACATCTAAATCAGCCACTTCCTTGCTGGGTTACTGGGAAGCTCACTTAGCCTTTCTCTACCTCTGTTCTCTGATTTGTAAAGTAAGTATACTAATGGTATTCTCTATATGAGGATTACTGTGGGAATCAACTAAATTAATGAATAGAGCACTTAACACAGTGCCTAGCTCTTAGTAAGTTCTCAATAATGATTATCGAGAACGAACTAAGTAGCGATAGTATCATTATCATCATCATCATTATTATTATTATTTAATTAGTTTAATTCAGTGTCATAAAATTTGGAGATGTATGAAACAGATACATTTAAGACGGTCCTGTGTTTTCAAATATTCAAATTGCCTAGAACAGGTATATGTCAGTCACAATACCTGTGTTTTATTAGAAATGTTGGTTATCTTGAGTTTTTATTTCTTGCTGATTATTTGATCTATAAGTCCTGTAGTGGCCAGGGGACACATAGCACCTGGAGTTAGTTTCCTTCAAACCTGGTAGGCATTCTCGGTGGGAGATCAAATCTTACAAATGGCGATGGAATTGGAAATGAATTTTGGCAATGGTAAACTTTGCTTACGCTTTCAGCGAAGTGAACGATTGATGCACTTGGGCCACTGGAGGTGGAGCGTGTGTGTCAGGGCGCACAAAGTAACTGATCAGAGGGAATTTTCTTAAAATAAAGGCACCTTTTAGGATGCTAGGATTAATATAAACATGCCCTAGTTCTCATTCTGCCTTATCATGTGTAGACAATGAAACCTGGGTTAAGAACCTTAAAATTTAGAAAGTTCAAATTTCTTCATCTGAAAAATGAGAATAATACTACACCTTCTCACAGCATTGTTCATAACTCCAAAGAAGGCAATGCATACGAGACTGTTTTATAAACTTTATATGCTGAGAAGAGAACGTTCTTCTTCTTATTATTATTATTTATATTTTTGTTCTGGGAAAAACAGCAGCTAAATGACCACTTGCCCTTGGTGGTTATAAAGCTGATGACCTCCACAGTTCCAGATCTTAAGAACCTTTCATAGAAGCCACTGCTTCTGACTTTGTGGCAATCACCCTGAAAGTGCTCTGAATCCTGATAATCCAGTTCATTTGTAATGCCTGTGGGCTATAGCCTTACCACTATCTAGTAAAAGAGATCCATCACCATCAAATCTACTGGAAGCAACATTATATTCAACACAGCCACTCTCTGCTTTTGTAAATCTCCCCTATACATTCCAAATAGCTTGGATTTTATTCACTTCCTGCCTTGAGGCTTTCCTGTAATTGCTGTGTGGAATCCTTCAGGAAGCAAATCAGGTGGTCTAATACATACACAACCTTATGTGAGGCACTAACACCTCCCAGAACAACTCTTAACCAGTACTCTTCCATTCCTTGGATGGACCATATAGAACTGCATTTTCCACAGGTCCCCAAAAGTTCCCCAGGGGATCAAGCCAGTTCCAACAGCAGTGGCCAGCTTGATAACGTATCTTTGGATTGGCTCTCCTTTCTTTCCTGATTCATTCTTAGGCTCTTAGCTCTGTTCCTTAAGATCTGTTCCCCCAGATAGTTTCCATTCTTAGTCTCTGCTTTTGGGGTAAAATGAGAAAAGGTAGTCACATCGCATGTGCTTTTTATTTAATTATCGTGTTAATTATGCTATACTGCTATTATTATCCCAGTTTTACTAATAAGATCACTGAGGCTCCGATTTATATAACTTGTCTAATAAGTGGATTATGTTTCCACACTAAGAACTTTAGTGATTACCACATGTCAGTTTACTTAGGACATAGAGTTAGCAGAATGAATCCTATACTAAAAAATAGAGAACCCCACCACAACAAACCTGATAGGTCATCGGTGGAATGAAAGAGAACAGAATAAAGGATACTCCAGCAATCTGAAAGAAAAGAAGAGTACAAATTTTTTAAAATTTAAAGAATAATTATTGCACGGTATGGATAACTTAACTGCAATAACACCCTCTTATTGAATATCTATCTTGTGAGTTTATCACAACAGATTCTGCTGTCATACCTGAAGTTTATATGACTAGCTAAGGAGGATAGCTCAAATCTGTCCTCTACCTAAATCACCTGACCAGAACTAAGATCATGTTTAGATAGGTTTTATGTTCTCTCCCAGACATCTTATATCCCTAATATTCCCATATTTCTTATAATTGCATCCCTGTACTTAGAGTATATTCATATGTTCAGTCTTTTTTATTTTATTTTATTTTTTATAAATTTATTTATAAAATATATATTTATTTTTGGTTGCGTTCGGTCTTTGTTGCTGGGGGCGGGCTTTCTCTAGTTGCGGCGAGCGGGGAGCCGTGCTTCATCGCGGTAGGTGCAGGCTTCTCATTGCGGTGGCTTCTCTTGTTGCGGAGCACGGGCTCTAGGTGCGCGGGCTTCAGTAGTTGTGGCGCGTGGGCTCAGTAGTTGTGGCTCTTGGGCTTAGTTGCTCCACGGCATGTGGGATCTTCCTGGACCAGGGCTTGAACCCCTGCATTGGCAGGCGGATTCTTAACCACTGCGCCACCAGGGAAGTCCATATGTTCAGTCTTATGGCCATTCGAGACTTTGTATTCTATCCAGCATTTCCTGAAGTTTGTGTCCACTGGCCAGAGTATACCTTTTGACATATTTGCCAAATACCGTTAATTTGAGAAGATACTGAAGTGGAATTTGTCGAGAATTTTTTGAATACTTACGCCATTCTCAATGAAGAATTCCTTGTCACTGCACAAGATAAGTGTTTGGGTTCCTTTTTATTTGCAGCTATTACTGAGGAGTAAATGCCTTTTTGGTTCTTGGATTATGCAGGCTCTGCTCTATTGAACATGTACTAGAACCAGTCTTAGGCACTGTTTAATAATGGAGTGACAGTTATTTATTGTCATTTTACTTTCTGCATTTCACTCCCAGTAGCTTTGGCTCAACATCATCTGTTACTGCTGTCATTGGTGGCAAATGCCACTGGGCATTGTAAAGGTCTGTAACCAACAAATAATGATTTAGAGTCCACAGTCAATGAGAGCAAAATACTAAAAGACCAATAGTGCATGCCTTATGAGGTGGCAGAGGAACAGTGGTGGAAATTAGTGATTATCTTAATTATTAAACATGAATACTCACTGGACTGATCCTCTGGTTATATCCAGTGATCAGGCATTCCATGGTGATACAGGAGAGTGGGTTTGCTACAGGTTTATAGAGCATTCGTCAGAGCTCATTGTTTATTCTGTTCATGCCCTTAGCAAGGATGAAGTAGACATCGTTTATCTTAAAAACTCAGAAAGAAATTAAAATAGACTAAGAAAATAAAATTCTTAAACTCACTGATAATAAGATTTTTTTGTAAATCCTAAAAGCTTAACAATTTTATTAAGTATAAGTTAAGCCATATTTTCTATTTAAACAGAGGCGTGTCATTTACCTTTAACACTTTATAGTTTATAGAATATTTCCAAATTGCTGTCTTATTTAACAAAAGCCCTGGGTTTTGGTTTGTAATTTTTTCTTGATTTTACTAATTAGGGAATTAAACTCAAAGAGTTTCAGTAGTTTATGCAAGTCATATAGAAATGGGGCCAAATCCCAGGTCTTCTGGTACCAGCCACACTCTTTCCAGCGTAGCATGCTTGTAAACTTGGGTAGAATCTCATAATCCCTTAAGATTTCATTGCTGTACTATCGCTACAGCCATATTATGGTGTCAATATTGTAATTCCTCTAACAGAAAGATGACTCGTGAAACTGAAGGCCATAAACCTTAGTATCAGATCTGTTTAAGTCTCACAAATTTCTAAATGTCCCAATACTACAGTCTCCCATCAATAACAAAATCAGTTTGTTGGGTACTACTTGGAAACTACGTAGCGATGCCCAGACCCTCATAGTCTCCCTGGTGGATCACTTTGCACTGATGAGATGGATTCTACTCAAGTAGAATCACACCGTGGAGGAATTTCTTGGGCAGCAATCTGGGGTCTCCAAGCAAAGGATCCAGAGACAGAGGCAGTTACTCCTCACTCAGCCTCTTATCACATTGGCTTCTGTGATATTTGAATAGAGGGAACATTCTAATTTTTAGAAATTTTCCCTGGTTTATTGTGGGCAATTTGGGCAGCAGTAGCCATAGATACTCAGGAAATTGCGAGTGTCAGTAGGGTGGTAGCTAAAAGTATATTCCTCAAGCCTACCTAGGAGACAACTGTGGATTTAGAAAGACTCAATAAAATAGATTGAAAGAGTTTTGTGAATAGAATGGGTGAGAAAGTGACTTGCCTTTTTTGGCCCTGCTGTATAAATATAATGTAGAAGTTAAAAGTATGCACTTTGGGGTCAC